AAACTTCATGAGGTTGGCATCAGCCCACCTGCAACTTGAAGATCCTTACATGTAAAATGCTTTAGAAGCACTAGATTTTTCTGCTTGTTTCTGTCCATGCTTTCTGGAGCTGTGATGGAATAAAAGATTTCAAACCAGGCTGTGGTTTGTGTATTCTCCTCTTGCCAAGGGAAATCCAGTGTCCAGAGGAGCTCTGCACTCAGGCTGGTTTTTAATCTATAGCTGTGAAATGCGTGTGCGCACTCTTGTGCCAAATATCTGTTTACAAAAGTTCTTTAGACAGCAGTGTTGTGTGCTATGAGTTAGGTCAGTTAATCTTGGTGCATAGTTACAGTTTAAATACCTGTGTGTTATGCGCATGTGAAAGTCCGGAGGACAAATCCATGGAGTTTTAATAACGTGTGTTAATGTGATGTTGTTTCTTGATACTAGCGAAACCAGTGGTGGTGAACGCAACCCCAGTACGGATGTCTGTTCCCATAGTGCCAGCACAGACTGTGAAACAGGTGAGCCAAATGTAAAAGGTATATTCCTGACTTAGTTTGTCTGGGTAGAAAAAAACGTCTGGTTTCAGCACTGTAACAAAATGTTCTATTAGAAGTGCTTTCTGAATCAACAAAACAATGATTTCATTAAGATCTCTTTTTCTCTCCAGGTGGTGCCCAAACCAATCAACCCAACTTCCCAGAGAGTTACTACTAGTCAGCCCCAACAAAGACTTATTATGCCAGCCACTCCACTGCCACAGATACAGCCCAACCTCACTAACCTCCCACCAGGCACTGTACTGGCACCAGCACCTGGTACAGGAAACGTTGGGTATGCAGTCCTTCCAGCTCAGTATGTCACACAGGTATGGTGTTAACCCAGAGTTAAATAAGGAAACAGTGCTGTTGTAGAACATACTGCCTTCCTTTTAAAGGTTCTTACTTCCCAACTGTCACCTGACACTGAGGGGACAGTTTCTTTTAGGGATCCTTGGCAGAATGATGATGGCACTAAATCATAGTTATAATTAAAGCTTTATTTTCTTAACAGGATTTTTTTTTATTAGCATAGCACAGAATCAGAATAGCAGAGGATTTCTGTAAGCAGAATGAGTGTAGTACAATTTAAGTAGTGTAGTACTGCATTTATTATACAACTTAACTTATAATTTCTAATCACCTAGACCCTCAGCAGATTGGGTCAGATCTTAATACATGGTTTGCTTTATCTATATAACAATCATAATCTAGACTTAAAAATCATACAGAAGAATGAGAGTCACTCAAGAGAAAGTAGATGCCAGTGAAAGCGTCCCTGGCTGCTGCAGGGCACGTCAGAGGTCTCACTGTCCAGCAGCAGTTCTGGTCCAAGTTCCTCACTTAGGACTTGTAACTGCTTGATTTTATAGACAGTGTGCTGTTACACTTCCCTGATCTGCAACGGGGACTTTGTTATCTGGGTGCCTGAGACCTTCACAGCCAGTAAAGAAGAGAGTATTTGGTCTGGTGCCCAGGAGTCCTGAGACTAGTAGCAAAGGGAAGAAGAAATATATTTGGTTTGTCTACCTTGGTTCACAAGACTTTCAGGGCCTGATAATGAGGGGAAAGGGAACAAATATGTGACCCGCTTGGTCACGGAGAATGGCTGCTTGCATTATAAAATTTTGTTAGCTACAATAACCACATTATCAAGGGTCAGGAGCAGATGGTACTTGTCATAGCAACCCCAGTCTAGGGTTTAGGTTTTTACTCTTTGCCAAAATCTGACCAACATTAAGAATGAAAAGGAGAATAAATGAAACCTTCAGCTGAAGGCTGACCAGCCAGTCTGTACAAACAATGACTTGTGGCATTACTGGTACCAGTGTCACTTCTGGTTCCTTTCTGGTTTTGTCACAGCTGCAGTTTGACCCTGAAGACTCTTACTGTGTCTTCTGGTCCACTTCCGCAAAACTTACCTTAAACTGAATACCATTTGCTGGACCTTTCCTCAGAGGTTTTGTGTTCCAGACACAATCTGTCCTCTGTGGCCTGGCCCCAGTAGGTCCATGTCTTATGTGCTCATCTGTTTTCAGAACCAGTCCTAGCAGCATGTAGGTAATACCAATGAAGGCAGCCCAAAACAACATTGTTTGGCAGGTTCTTTTGAGGTTTTGGGATTTTGGGGTTGTTTTTTTAATGTGAAAACCAAACTCTGTGTCCAGGTAATGTGGAGAAGTTGGAATGTAAATAATTTTACTTGCTCTTATTTAATTTCATAATAAGTGGCTTATATGTCAAGGAAGCTACTGAAGTATTTGTGCAGGGATCAGTCGTGCTCTATTAGGGGCAGGGTTTCTTGGAAAAAGCAGGGAAAATCATTTTGAGTGTGTTTTTAGGAGCTGGAACTGTTTATGGTCTGAACACTTCTGTGTGTAGTCTCTGTTGTTTGTGTGGCTGTAGCACTGTAATAGAGAACAAAAATATCAAAACCAATGTTTTTATGCTAAGTATGGAGGCAGGAAGTTGCCTTGTCCAGATTCTACATGTGTCTGAAACTGTACTTACAGCATATATTATTTTTATAACAAAGACTAGCCACACATCCTCTTGTTTATATTCTAATTTCTTTTATTATTTCATTAACCTTTTTGTTTTGTTAGCTACAGCAATCATCGTATGTATCTATAGCAAGCAACACTGGCTTTACAGGGACACCTTGTATCCAGTCCCAAGCACGGCTACCATTCAACGGGTGAGTGTTTTGCAACAATAACAAAACCAAAAATCCTGCAGTATAGGCTGCTGACTGAGCATCATCTTTCAGTCCCATTATAAGCAAGGGTGGGAGCTCAGGTGTTGGTTTGGTTTGGGGCATTTTCCAAGAAAATCAAGTATACTGTGGTATGGTTATTACCTTTGACTACAGGACATGGATCTGCCTGACAATTGAGCCAGTCTCTTGATGAAAGCTGTGTTTTGATTTGTTTTCTGAACTCAGTAGCAGGAAGTTGACCTGAAAGCTCCCTGTTGCTCATCCTTCATTTTGCATCAGTACCTGGGAGCTACAGGCCTCACCTCTTTCTGGACATTGCTGGAAAAAGATGCTAGATGATACAAGAGCTAGATGCCTAGCATATGCAGAAACCCAGCTGAGCAGCCTAAAATGGATCCTTATAGAAGGCTTTGGTGTATTTCAGTCTTGTATTTTTCCTTTAAGGATGAAAATAATGGCTAATGCATTTTTTCCCCTTGCCAATCCAGCAGGCTTAGCTGTTCTGCACAGTCCTTTTGTGTTATTGTTTGCTGGAAATTGTAAACAACAAGGTGCTTTTTCTTGCTGCAACCTCAACTAATGCAAACTAATCCCAAATCCAGATGCCACTATTCGAATGAATGGGTTTGATTTAATCTCTCTGATATTACATGCAGAAATTGTTGGATAGGGATGGAATGAATCTCATCAAAAGCGATTAGTGACACAAAGTCTGAGTTTTAAGAGCAGTTAAAAGACTGTCTGATACATAATTTATCTATAAACTGAATACCATGTTTTGGCTTGCTTTCCCATTATTCCAGAGCATTTTATTTGTTTTTAATTCCAACCAGAACACAATGAAAGGCATAATCTTTTTGTGTGAACCTTGTCCCCCTGCAAGCGGAGGAGTTCTGGGGAAGTTTTCGCCGATTCCAGTTTTCAGTTACAATGCTTCCTCTAGCTTTAAGCCTCATTTCTACTTCAGACATGCAGCCAGATTTGTAGCAAATAACCCAGCTCTTTGAGTTTGAAAAGCATTATGTAAAGGTACTAAGTATAATAGTTAAACGCAATCAGCCAAAAAAGTAATGCAAGGGAAATATAAAGATTTTTTTTTTTTAAGCTTTTATTATGAGCTTATTTACTTTAAATTAGGAAGAAACTGATAAAACAGTGTACATGCATCTAAATGCACTTTTTTTCCCCACAGAATAATTCCTTGTGAATCAGCAAACCGCCCCAGGAAGCCTTGCAATTGTACTAAGTCTCTATGCTTGAAATTGTAAGTACAGTTTGGTTTTGGTTTGGGGGGTTTTTTTAAGCCTTATTTTTGACATCACAAATTTATGCCAAATATCAAAATGTAATGTTTTTAAGTATGTCAGAGATGTTATGTCTAGATGCTAATTTGAGGTTGCTGTTGATATTGGTGAAGATGTTGCAGTGCCTGTGTAATTTTGCAGTTCCTGTGAGCTGTATGGACTGTAACATTTAATGATTTTTCTAACTTCACAGCCTTGTTGCATGGTGGAGCCAATTCCACGCAGCAGCTATAATTGTGTTGTTGCTATGATTGAAATGACATCCCATGGTATCATCAGTGGGCATCTAATGTACGTTGGTAAAGTACATCAGTAATACCGTGCTGCAGCAAGTACTTCAGAACAATTGGCCTGTGTATGTTTTCTTAAATGACTAACAGTCAAAGGATTCTTCACTGATAAGTCTACGTCTTGCTCATCCTCATGAGTTATTCTGCTATTTCTTTCAGTGTCTTTGTAAGAATTGTAAGAATTTGTAAAGCTATTGCAGGTTGTAAAAGGTTTTGATATAGTTTGTCTCTGGGACCATTCAGGATGCTGAAAATCGCCAAAATGCAATTCTGCCAACTGAAGGGTTGTAGTGGACTCCAGGGCAATCCTAATCTAGTTCTTGTAGTATTACCCTGGCCAAGCTGTGGGAAGTCAGCCACCCTTGAGTTATACCTGTATCTTTAGACAGCAACTGGACCTGCATTAGAGGATTTAGGCCTTGTAATAAGGCTGATACCACTTGTATACGTGAAGTTGAGCATAGGGTGACCCCTTTACCTTATTGGTGCATGTGCGTATCACCAGACTAGGAACTTGTGCTACTGCCATCAGTGCTAACACCAGTGTAATGGTCATGTTCTGCATCTTCTGTTTCAGGTACTGTGACTGTTTTGCAAACGGTGAATTCTGCAATAACTGCAACTGTACAAATTGTTATAATAACCTGGACCATGAAAATGACAGGCAAAAAGCAATAAAGGTGAGGGGCCTCTTCCTCTGCCCCTGGGATAAAAGCCGTTTAGCTTGTATCTTCTGAAGCTACGGCACGGGGCAGAGTGGGTGTATAATGCCCTGATATCCTCCCACAAGTGGAAGGCTTAAGTCCTTTTACTGCACCTCTAAATTCTGCTCCCTGCATGCAGTGACTGACCCTTTGGGTCTGCATTGACAGGCCTGCCTTGACAGAAACCCTGAAGCCTTCAAGCCCAAGATAGGGAAAGGAAAGGAAGGAGAATCGGATCGGAGACACAGCAAAGGGTGTAACTGTAAACGCTCAGGATGTCTCAAAAACTACTGCGAATGTTATGAGGTACAAAGCATTATCTCTTAAAGATACTGGCTTTTTCCCTTCAGTGCTGCGACCTCTCTCTCTTACTTGCTCTGTCTCTTTGTATTGCTATCATGTTTTCTGTACTTTTCTACTGCTTTAATGTTATATCTTCTTCCAGCACTTTGCACATAGAAAGCCACATATATGGCAGAACTGGTTACTTCTGTTGTGTAAGCTTAACTGTAAACCACATAGCAACTTTGAACCTGGGCTTGGATTTGTCCTTTACTGAGGAGCAGTATTTCCTAAAGAAATCTACTGCACCAGTTCCCTAGGAGGTGTTGAAGCAGGATCCATCAGACACTCTGGGGTAGAACATGTCTGTGGAAGACAAAAGCAAAAGTTGTTGCGTTGGCTAACTGATCAGTCCGTGGATGTGGCAGACTGACCTCTCATAGTTCAACCACCTAAATTCCACTGGAAACAGTAGATAGGTGAAGAAAGGGATGAGTGGGTAACCATTGATTTGCATTTGACTCAAGTATACATTCTGAGAAGGCATCTCAGTTTGAGGTGAGAAGTTAGAGAGAAAACTACTGCTTTGGGGTTTCTTCTCATGGTTAATTGATGAAAGATTAAAACAAGATCTTCATTCATTGTGGCTTGTCATAAAGGGAGTCAAGGTTACAAGAGGTTTCTCATGTTTTGTTTGTTTCTTTCAGGCAAAAATCATGTGCTCTTCCATATGTAAATGCATTGGCTGTAAAAATTTTGAAGAAAGCCCAGAGCGAAAGACATTGATGCATTTAGCAGATGCTGCAGAAGTTAGGGTCCAGCAGCAGACCGCTGCAAAGACCAAGTTATCTTCCCAGATCTCAGATCTGCTGACAAGGCCAACACCAGCACTCAGCAGTGGTGGTGGGAAGTAAGTCATGCAGCATTGTCTTTCAGTTGCTTCTAATGTGTTTTTTCTATGTGACAGGTCATCTTTGAATGTTATCTGTGTAAGCTGTAGAAGCACTCACATGAATGAAGCTTTTTGTTCACACAACTGTGGTTTCTCTGGAACCTATGGTATGCCAAGCTTAGCTGTGTTCAAGCACATAACTAAGCTAGTCTTCTCATGGTTGCCCATGTGCTCACAGAAAGCATGAAGTGTCCCATCTACTGAGAGGATGTAATCTTTGAGTTGCCCTTATAGTAAAAGCTGGAGAATTCTATGTACTTGGGCATTTCAAAGTCTATTTCAAAATGTACATCCATGGAGGCAGGCACACCAAAGCACAATGGCCCACCAGTTCATTTGGCTGTAACTGTGGCTTATAGACTCCATTTTGGTTGCCTAGAGGCTTCTGGAAGCAAGAGGACAGATGAACTCTCATCAGTCCTTTTATTAAAATGTTGTCTAGCCCTGGAGTTAGGCACATTGTGTGTTTTTGCTGAGAGCAAGTGGATTTTTCTTTTGTTTCAGGTTGCCCTTCACGTTTGTAACCAAGGAGGTAGCTGATGCAACCTGTGAATGCCTTCTTGCACAGGCAGAGCAAGCAGAGAAGACAGGCAAGTCAAAAGCTGCAGCAGAGCGAATGATCCTGGAGGAGTTTGGACGCTGTTTGATGAGAGTTATTAACTCTGCAGGGAAGTCCAAAAGTGACCCTTGTGCCATGAACTGCTGACTCATGCACATGAGCCACAATGAAGTGGACTGGACAGAACACTTAAGGCACAGGGACACTTTGGTTTGGCTTAGAGGATTTAATAATATTTGTTAATTTGGTGCTTGTTGTAAATTCACCTGCATAATATCGAAACATGAAAATCTTTTTATAACATTTATGTAGAGCCTTTTAAATCTTAGCTAAATCCTCTTCTACTTAAGACAATGCCTAAAGGTCAATTCTTCTTCCTGATGTACAGCTTTTACCTTGGGTTTCTTAAAAATTAGATGTGTTCTCCTCTTTCCCCCAGAATAATTACCTGAAGGGCATATATAAATTATTATAATATATATTATTTACAGTGTATGGAGTTGCATTACTTTGTGCATACAGGAAAACACAGGTGATGTCAACAGATAGGTGATGCTTTTGGCAACAGGCCCATAATAAGAAGGTATCACTGTATCCAAGATAGTTCTGAAAGGAAGCGTGTAAAAATTAGCATCTAAATAGAAGGTAGTACTTGTATTTGGGACCCGACATGGCTTTTTTTTTTGGAGCACTGTGAAATACACAGGCAATAATACAGAGCGGTGGGTTGCAGATTTAGTATTGGGCAACTGGTGGGGAATCTTGTCGGAGTGAGGCCCAAGGAGTTTACAGGCTAATGGAATTAATGGGAATTTTTTTATAGGAATGTGGCTGAGAGCTCGTGTTTAAGCTGGAACTTGAAGGCTAAGACAGTGGCATGTTCTCAGAAGTGAGGAAGGGCAGCCAAGCCACAATGCCAGATGTCTGCTCAGTGTACAGTGTTAGCTAAGCGTGCAGCTGACAGATGCTGTTGCTTAGGTGTTTACCTGGTTTTTCAGAGGTCTGCAGCAGCCTAATCCCTCACTGGAGGTAGGGCTTTGTGGTCTGTTGTGTTTTCTAGGATCAAGCTTTAACCCTGGAAAGTGTTTAAGCCTAAGAAGCTGAGGTCATGGGAGGTGTTGGAACCACAGTTGTCTTAACGAGGACTCAAGACAATCTGCATCCAAATTGACTTGCAGAGGTAGGGATCCCTGGTTGCGGGTCTTCAGGATGCTGCTTCTCTATATGTTATCAGCTTAGTTGACATAAGGGTTTTTTAAGTGTTGTTTAGAATGACTGAGAGCCATGATCAGAGAGGATGGTAGCACAAAATCAGGATTGCTTTCAAAACAGATAGATCCTTTTATACAAAGCTGGGGAAGGGGGGGGGGGGGGGGGGCAATCAACTATAGCTGTGTATAGACTTAGGGCAGGGGATATTTTTCAGTATTTGTTACAGGCAATCTTGGATCATGTTTCTGGTAGCAGAACAACATTTGCAGAATTAACTTAGTAGGTTATTTACCTACTATGAATGTCTATAACTATATTTTAACCACGGGCATTTTTATTACCTGTCTCACTGCAGCCTGAACTAGTTAGGTGTTTCCAAAAAAGATTTAGTATTCCTCGTGTAAAAATGTAAATACAGAGAAAAGCAGCAGAGCTTTCTCCAGGTTTTCTAGCAGGGCCAGGCTGGAGAAAGGTAGGGGTTAGGCAAACCAGCAGCAGAGCTAAGTGCCTACTTGTATGATGGCAATAGGGTGGGAGGACGCTTCCACTCCTGTCTTCACCCCAGTCCTGTGCACTGAGCAGAAAAGCCCTTGACTCTTCTCTGGTGCCTCGTCAAAATGCCTCAGGGGCCTGAAGGGCCTGGGAGGTGGCCAGCAGCAGTGACAGGACATTGAGTCACCCTTGCAGACAAGGTTTGACCTGCCAGTCACTGTCTGAAGAGCCCTGTCTGCTATTAATATTTCCCTGAGAATGAATAGCAAATCTCTGAAAAGGGACTCCACCTCTTGTGTAAGTAAATGCCACTTTTTCATAATCAGGACTTGGATTTACTAAAAAATCAGTGCAGTAACTTTACATGTAGATAGAGCGGATATTCAGTTTACTTCTAGTGACCTACTATAGTATGTCCAGTAAGATTTGTATAAATGTAAATTAGTGTAAGTGAATAAAGTAATACCTACTTACATTATTTTCCAAACAGATTGCAATATGCCTTCTTTTGTTTAGACTTCAGTCCATGTTAATTTTGTATATATACCATGTCTTACTCTAATTTGCACCTTTTGTGATGTGTATTTATATACAGTGTGCAAAAAACACTTGTGAAATTTAGATAACAGTTGTAATTATGTATGATGGCATTGCTTGAGAATATTTTGCTTGTAAAGACTTTTAAGGTGCAATCAAATGCTCTTAGTTCTTCTATTTTGTTTTGAACAAGCTTTCTCAAATATTAAGCTTGGATTCCTCTCTCCCCTCTCCCTGATGTAGAATGTGTGAATTGGGTTTTGTACTTCTTTAGCCATTTGCATCAAACTGCTGAACAAGATTTACAGTCAAGTTCATCCAGTTACATAAAAATAATTGGGAAATGGGGTAAAGGGTTCATTTTCTAGTTCTGTTTACATCTGAAAGTAGACAAATTAAATTTATATTTACTAGACCTATTCAAAGAATACACTTTTCTATATTGTACAAATAAAACAGTCCGATAAATCACAAAGAAAAATAAACCTTTATACTATTCTGTAAATACAAATTTTTTTGTACTCCATGCCTTCAGCACTGAATATTAGTCACAGATGACTCTCACTGAACTGTCAAAAGAAAGCTGTTAACACCAGGCAGTTTCTGATGCAAGAACTGGCCTGGATTTTCAGTATCAGATCAAATCCTATGAGATAAACCTTTGGTTACTTGCATACCATCATGCATAGCAATCTGTGTCACATGGTGGCACAGTTCATAAAGGGCCAGAATGTGTGTACCAAGCCAGCACCAGCTAGTTGAGCCCATGTGAGAGTTTCTCCATTTCTTTTAAACTCTTTAATGAGAAAGCATGGGGTTTTTCATGTGCATTGGCTAGACAAGAGCTAGGCTCAGAGTGAGCAGGACATGCTGGGCCATTTGACAGTGCCCTTGAAAACAGCAGGGTGCTACAAAGAGCTCATTGAGGACCACAGGCAAAAATTTGAGGCAGAGCTTTCTGGAGAGCCTTAGACTGCTTGTTAGCAGGATACAATGTACTGTTTTCTTGTGCCTTTTGTGTCTTTTTTGTCTTTTGCAGAGATTTGTGAGTAGCTCTTGCAAAAACTCTGTTACGTTGCATTAAGGAGTACAAATCAGCTAAGAGAGCTTGTGGTTTGTTTCTCAAAGTAAAACCTGGTTTTATTTTTGTGCAGCCAATTTCCATGTTCAGCTAAAAAAAATGAGCACTGTGGAAAAGGTAGTGTACAATTAATACTTAGGGAGTCTTAGGAGCATTGTTAGGATGTTGAGGGAACAAAAGATGTTACTGGACTGAGCTTTTCCCCCTACTGCACCAGCTGCCATGAGAGAAGGCTCTCTGTTGCCTTAGGGTGCAGTAGAGGACTGAGAGAAGGAATGAGGTGCTTAAAGCAACTTGGAGTGAGTTTGTATGGACCTCATGGAGGGCATGGTAGAAGCAAGAGTGAGTGTTTCAGAGTGTTTCCCCCTCCAGGGGATCTAGACTAAACCAGCTTGTTTAGCTCTTTGATAAAACATGAAGGAGTGGAGGTTAGAGCTTGTGTACAACTTGAGTGCCATTTTCTTTTCACATCTTTGTTTTCCTTAAGTAAAGCTCTCCAAGCTTTCTTGCCTCCAGCTTTTTTTAAAGCAGACCTGCTTTGGCAAAATCAAATTGCCAGCATGCACGATTCTCCCTAGCTGTGTAGAAGATGCATCAGTCTTCTCCCGGCAAGAGCACTCGCAGCACTAAGCCATCCAGCACCTCCAGGGCACACACTGCAGTGTCCCCTACCACTTCCCCAGGCATCTTGAGCAACCATCGCTCATCCTGACCTGCTATGCGAGTCTCATGAACTATGTATCTGCTTTGCAGGACTACTAGATAGAACACAGGATCAGATGAGCTTCCTTGCCTTGCTCAGCCAAACTCTGATCAGGCGGTTTGCAGTGGCCCAACACATCGTGTTTATCAACACCAGTTTTGCCAGCCAAATCATGGGAAGACACCGCATCATTTCCGTGCTAGATCTGGCTGTCACTGAGCCTCAGTAAGGGACAGCCAGCCTTGGAACAGTGCTGAGTACTCATGACCCTGTGTGGGTTTGGCCTGACTGACAGCTACCCAGTGGTGAGGGAAACAAATGTTTTCCCCTCACTCTCTTCAATCTGTGCCTTCCACAATGGTATTTCAAGTCCAGGTGTTCGGCATGGTTTGTTCTGATGTTTAAATAACATTGCATTATTCCCTTTAGTAAGATTGTGTAGTGATTGTTGACACACACCTCCCCATCAAATAAATGGTTTGTGAGAGTAGGGAAGAGGGGACTTCCTCCCAGGAGCTCCTGGAAGATTTTCTGTTCTAGAGACAAGTGCCATAGCTTGGTGTTTTCATTGCTGTCTCCTACTTTGCCATACCGGTTTAGGACTTGTTCCGAAATGCTTGTTATGTGGTACACACTTGCCGAGGGCAGACTCACTCCACCTAACTTTTTTATGTATAGCACTGACCTGCATCTTAGCCTGCTCTCATCTGACTCAAAGAGGGAAGCAACACAAGCCTCACATTGCAAGTCAGAGGCTAATTGCTCGGCAATGAAGCCTGCGGTGCAGGTGACACTCTTTACATGCAGGGATAGGTCTATCAGTGCGTTACTTAGCACAGAGCCATGCAAAAGAAGGCCTGCACAATAGGGGCACTCTGTTGCCAGTGTTCTCCCATGAGCTGGGTTATACTGAGCACAAATGCTGCCAAGGGTCAGATCTCTCCTGCAAGACTGAGCTGTGTCCCAAGAGCTCATACTGCCTGAGCCACTGCTGTATGGTGAGCCTGGTGCCAGGTTACAGCCAGCCAGCAGTTTGTGATAAGCAGCCTGGAAGACAGTGCATGTGGGACTCCCATTGCCACAGGCTTGCTGGAGGGTCCTTAGAAACAGCTCCAGGGGGTCAAGGCTGAAGGCATAAGTCAGGAAGTGGTGGGAAGGAGAGCCTTCTGGACACACATAGTTGGTGTAAAGCCACTTGAGGCTTTCCGCGTTGAGCAACAAACTCAGAAATCCTAGTTTCCTTTTGCTCTTAATAATGTATCTTCCCATAGAGTCTGTTAAGGTGACAAAGAAGCTCTTGGCCTCATTAAAGAGGTGGGTTATTTTGGTATAATTTCCAGCTAGCAAAGGCCCCTTCAGTCCCATTCTATAGGGACCTCTACCATGAAATACATCACACAGATGGCTCATCAACCGCACAAACTTGACAGTACCGCTGCAGTTCTGGAATGAGGCCAGCCCCAGATTCTGGAGGTGTTCCAGTGCATCAGCAACACCCTCACTGAATAACTGAGTAGCAAGGTTGACCTTCAGGTAGTAACTCCCCTTGCTCCCAGGTATGCCTGACTTGGGACTGCACGGCTCCAATACCCTCTGCTCCTGCAAAGCCGCCAGCTCCACCACGTGCTGCCACCGTACGGTGTCACCAGGCCACTCTATCTTCTGGAAGCACTGCAGAGCATTCCTGATCAGCTGGAGGGCATGGCAAACATCAAACAAATACATGATGCTCTGAGCAGAGCCAGGCGGATGCTGGAAAGTGCACTGAATCCTTTCAGAATCCATCCTGATCCCTAGAGCTCTGGCGGTCTCAGCACCGCGAGCAGTGGTGCCTGATGTCACAGCCAGCACCCTGATGCCAATGTTGTTCAGTTTGTTGATGGCCTGGCGAAGCAGCTGAGCAAGCAAGTAGCCAGTCGTGCTGTTCACAAAGAAGTAGCCAAGTGGAGCTGCCCAGGGACTTGAGATGCCAACTGCCATGAGGATTATCGCTTCTGAGGCCAGCGGAGCTTCATCAGCATCGAGGATGCCTGCGCCCAAGTCAACAAAGCCTGTCAGGCACTGGGTCTGCAGGTCCCACTCCCGCTGTTTCTGCAGGGACATGTCTTGTGCCATCAGGGCACAGTAGCAGTAGCCTTTTTCCCCTCTCTCCACCTTTTCCTGAAGGCAGAGAAATATGTTGTTGCTGAAGCCTGCAGCAGCCTCATTAGTAGACAGCCAACTGGAAAGAAAGGGTAGGCTGCAATTAGGAGATGTGATCTGAGAAAATGGAAGCAACAGTCACCACCTTTTACCACTTAGGACATAGCCGTGCCTGAAGCTGTAGGCTAAGGCAGAGTATAAAGCAAGCAGCCCTGCTTTTCTTAATGCATAGTTTCTTTTCTTACACCCTAGTGATGGGAAGCAAATGTACTGACCGTGAAGGGAACTAACAAAGCAGCTTCCTGCCTTTCCAATGTATAGGAGATCAGGAAAAGGGAAAAAAATTAGACACAGAATTGCAAATCAGGCTGCGCAGGTGGCCAGCAACACCAGACTGCTCTTTCCCCCCTGGTTTTCTCCACGCTGTGCAGTTTGGAAGACGTAAAAGCCTCGGCAGCCCATGTGGAATGCTACCCTGCTCAATACACTCTGTCCGCTACCTCCCGCCACCCCTACAAGCAGATTCTTTGTAGGAAGCTATGTGAAACGCCCCAAGGCTGGTATGGACAATGCATGTATCTGATGAGCATCCACCAACTGCACTACAGGAATCTGAGACTCAAAACCTGTACAGGGAGAGTTTCTCCAGCTTTTGTTTTGTGTGTTGTTACAACTTCACTCCCTGCTAATGGGTCTGATAGCACTCCAAGTAGTAAATTCTGAGCCTACGTAACTGCTTGCAATGGGTTACACAACTGAGTTATGTGATACAGAAGTATCTCCCTTCTGTAACTTTGAAACAGACACTTGTTGAGATTCACTAACTTCCCAGAGTCCTTGTAGGGCAAGGTATAAAAAAAGCAAAGCTCTACTCTGCCTTAGGCAGTCCTTCACTTTCATGTTCCCTTCTTGACTCCTTCCTTTGCCAGAAGGCAATCCCAAAGCTTTCCATGTATAGTCCTATTGGTTTTGATTAACTCTACCAACATTTATTCCTGCCCACGTCTCCTCACTCAGTTTTGGCTGTTGGTGGGGTACTACAGATGCTCCCTTCACACTGCCTCCTGTGGTTTCTTTTTAAATGACCTTACTCGTATTTGCCCTTCCTTTGCTATTTGGCTCACCTCTCCCTTCTTGTAAGTCTACACTGCACATCACAGGGCAAGAGTGTGTGCCAATGTGGTAAAGCACATGTGCTTTTTTCTACTCCTTCCTTCCCAGTGCACAGTAAAACACATATAGACCCTGCTGCAGCTGAGGACCTAAAATATACCTTTTTTAACACCCACAGCACCTAGGAATACTTAGGAAACTCCACACTTACTCTAAAATTGTTATTTTCATGCCGTGACCCACATGCATGGACACACAGCAGGTCTCTAAGTTGAGGGGTATCAATATTTCTTGACGCTTGCTTCCCACTCTGCTTCTGTTACTAAAACAAAGCAGGGAAAAACTACTATCTGTGCTAGATGCTTTCAGGATAGACCCGTTATACCTCTTTCTACATGAGTACCTGCAAATGTATTCAGAATGAATGAATAAAAACTTGCTTTGTCAGACTGCAAGGATGAGGGAGAGGAAGAATCTTCCGCAGATAGTTGTAAGCCTTAATATGGTAAAGGTGGAGAACACAAGCAAACTGCCTCATTTCTGGCGAGTATTCAGCCATCTGCTTCCAGCTGTGCAACTCACAAGGCAAGTCTGCTTAAAAAAGAAAAAGTCAGGTTTAGTGAAGCAAATAAATAGCTGATAACTTAAGAGGGATACATAATACAAACATGTAGCAGAATAGAAGACAACAGGGTGGTCTCTAGAACCAATCAGTCTAGTGTGAAGTGTATGGCTCAGCAGTATTACCACTGTGCCTCAACCCTTCCTAGGGATGGGCAGTGGCCAGGATGAGTGTGTGCCCTACAATGCTGTCAAGGCCAAGACCCCAACACGCCTTTCCCTATCTATTGTCATTCCACAGTTTTGAGTCAAGACTGTCTTACATGTAGGTACTGCTACAGCATTGGACTTAGAAGTCTAGCAGTCAGGGATTGCTTTATGGACAGCACTGATACCACAAAGTTAAAATACAAAACTGTGGCGAGGGGGTGCATGCCCTGAAGCACTCTGCCTTAGCAAACGCCCCCAGCAGTACCTGAAAACTGTGCCTGCAGCAAACTCACGGCTTCCTCGGAAAGATGCTGCTTTTTCACCAGCTCCCGCAGGACGTTCAGCACCGTTCTGGCCGGGCGGGTGCGGGAGCATCTCCCGGCCG